CTGCTCGCCGTTTGCCGAATGCACCACGCAATTACCTGCGTCGCGAGAGTTTGTTAACAGCAAACCAACGTGGCTTTGGTCATGTCGTGGATATAATGCATTTTTTCTCCCCGTCATCGAATAAAAAGGATAACATTATTCTACGTTTTGTAAATAAGCCGGACGAAGTTTTCTGGACAAATAAACTACTATTAAGATTATGATTTTATTTATTTTTTAAGCATTTAACTGCTAGATATTTAACTTTCAACTAAATTTAGATAAATTTCAACGCGGCTAATAGGGCCGTGGTAGCATAATGGTCAGTGCATTCGCCCGGATAGCGAAGGATGCGGGTTCGAGTCCCGTCCGCTGCCTGGTCCGCGTGGATTTTTTTCTAGTAAACTTTTCTTTAGATTTACTACTAAGATTTTTTTTTAATTAATTATTATGTAGACACAACAGAGCGTACTGTAAAAGGAAATGCACTGGTTCATAAATAAGCTAAATTAATATGCAGCTTGTAGGAGTTGTTCAGAGTATTCCGAGCAATTCTAATTCTGAAGTTATCTTGCACTCCACGTGCTGCCTCAAAGTGCTAAATTACGAGTGTTACAACTCAATTAATTTGTAACAATTGTGTCTTTAATAATAAATTTAGTAAGATCTTTCGAGTAACTTTTTCTGAGTTGGGATTGTCATGTAAGGTTTCTTAAAAAAACTACATGAAAGGGACACGATAACGTAACCAAAATTATCGATACCAGAATTGGTATCCGAAAACAGTGTTAACTAAATATTTTAAAATAAAACAACGTGTAATACAACTATTACTTCTTTTTTATTATAATTTTTACTTATTCAATGTGTTTTATACTACAATCACTTCAATGTAATGCACAGTTAGGCAACCTTACTATAGTAAGATACAATAATTAACGAAGAAGGTTTTAACGGCACTGAGAGATATGAACTATCTTTTAGTTTAATGAAATTTTGTTTATCGTTGGTAATTTAATAATTTATCATGTCGTATTTGACCAATGTCGTATCACCAAATATAATTTATTTATACTAGTCTAGGGCCAAAAAGGGCCATGACGCAGTGAAGTTCCTCAACTTGGATCTCGCGGATCCACAGTTAACAGCGTGGAGGGTATTCGCAGGGTATTTTAGCGGATAGTATGCCTAAGCGCTCGTAAGCCGCGCGGACTGTTTAACGGCTTCTCCGTTTCGCACCTGTGGGACTTGCAAGAGGCTAAGTGTAAGGTCCGTTGGTTGGTGTGCCCCTTAAGGGTGCCAACGTATTTATATAGGCGTATTGCCTGCGTAATAAAAAAATAAAAAAGCCAAAAATGGTCATGGCTCGGGGGGTCCAGCCGTTACGCACCCATTCCGCGACGCGCCCGGCCGGGATGCGCCCACAGTGAAAGACTGCATTGTGTGAAATATGGGCAGTGTTGGTAAAATGTGGGTACGTCCCGGTCGGACACGTCGCGGAATGGGTGCGTCACGGCCGGATCCGGCTGGGGGCGACAGAAGCCATACAAAGGCATTTGTAACTGAACTATATTTTGATTTGATTAACCAATTTTATGGGGAGAGGGGAAGGTGTAAATCGTACATGGCCCGGGGCGCCAGATTTCTCAAATACGCCCCTAATACTATAGGTGGAAAACATTCCTTTCAAACATGGAACAGGCAATTTGAGCTTTCACTCATAAACCTACTGAGATGATTTCAATTAATTTTAACATTGAAATAAATGGGACGTATGAAAAGGAAAAATGCAAATTTTTGCAATTATATTGATACTATGAGGGTTTGAAATATGCCCAGCCTGATGGTAAGCGCATACCATAGTCTTATACCAAAGCAATCCCTCGCACCGTTGCCTAGCCTAACCCAATCCTCCACGGGGTAGGCCATGGAACTCTGGAACCTTACTCACCAGCAAAAACACATACTACCAAAAGGTATCTAATGTTTTTTTACTGTGGTTTTCAGTAAGATGGAGATAACTTCCCCATACAGACGCTCCAATTCGAAAGTCAGTGGAAAATCGATTGACCATGATTTTCTTGTACTTAGGGTAAATAATATATTGGTTGATAAACAAACAAATAGGTCTTATTACAATAATTTTCAAGTTGTTACAATTTATATACCTAAACCAAAATGTACAATTCATGTTAACTAGAAACTTGGTCCTATGCGAATTTAACGTCTTTACTTAGAACACGAGCACTTAACCAGAACGATTTAACAATTTCATAGCTCTGGTCTGAACTGAGCAAAGACCTCTTTGTTTATGCCATTCCCGAATTTATGTTATTAGCAACAAGAAACAGTTTCGCACTCGAACTTGACCCAATAAATAACTAAATCCACAAGCGTAGTCTTGTTAAGGCGACGTCTAGTCGGGTTTACAACGATTTAAGACATAAAACAGCTCATATAATCTCAGCACCGTTAATATATAGCTCAATATGTACTCAGTTTTAACATACTTCTTGTTAGATAATTATAATTTGGATTTCAATGAGTTGTCTTCTAATAATATTTACAAAGGCTATAAAGCTTTGTCCTAACCGTCCGTGCTGACGAAATCCGGAGCCATTTTTGTGTTTTTAATGTTTCTTGTTTTCGTTTTCAATCTTGCTGAAATATTGATAGTAGGCCTTAAATATTTTAAGGTTTTGGAGGGTATCTTTCAATAACATTAGTGAAGCTACTTTTCTATTAAGATAACTCATAAACTTATGAAATGTACAGAATTTGAAATCATTCTCTTAGACATAGATTTTTTATTGCCTATCTATATTTAGATTTGATTCGGAAATTATTGGTTGGTACATCAATTGTATGATTTTATTTTAATAAATAATAGCATGAGCGTCAAAGCGATGCTATTAAATTTGGTGATTCTCATAAACCATGTAAGTAATAACATTTATTTAAATGATTCCATAGATTAGTAGGTATTCCATAGTAAGTAGTATATTCACATATTCATATATTTAACAAATTTTACTGTTTTTGCAGCTCTTTCAAATATTGAGACTCCATCACAATTCTGGGCGGTTAAGACAAAGCTTCAGTAAATTTAACAAAACATCGTAATATTACATTTAAATATGCACCATCCTTTTTATATTATAAAGTTTGAAATGGCTTGAAACAACCTGTGGAAAATTGTATACTATAAATGTAAACACTACATTTATTATGCACACAGCCATATTTTTGCATTTGAAACGGACAGATAGCGAAGGTAACGATTGAAATAATTGAATAGATTTTGAAGCACAATGTGAAGTATTTTTATCTCTTTTCTTGACGTACGAATAACTTTGTTACAAAAGAGATAATAATAACCACGGGTAAAAAAGTGAATTGAGTCTTAGTGTTATGTTTATTGATTCAATTAAATTCATTCATATATTTGCATTACAAATTAATACAATTAAAAATAAGCAGACATAAATGATTATAAGTTTAAACAGTTCTTAAATAACTAGTATGAACTACAGTCATTAGTGAGTGACGATGATGCAAATAGGCAGAAGCTCATCACTGTTTTTGCTTTAATAGACAAATTGCTGATTTTCAGCAACTGCCCGTAAAACGAGCGAGGATGTAGTTACGATATAAAGCTGGCATTGTAATTGCCCAGTTCCACATATAATACATGAACATAATTATTAATTTTAGATTTTATTGGTAAAAATATCGTCACAATTGCTTCTGTCAACAATTTCAAATAAACAATTTAATAAATTATAATTTTATATAATAAAGACGCTAGTTAAGTAATTTCAATAAAATCAACAATATTAAAATGAATAAAGATCAACATTAGAGGAAATTATTTGTAAATTTATCAACATTTACCATGTTAAATACTTATAAATATAAATAAAATTTTAAGTAATATTTACATTCCACCTTGTATCAAACAGTTATTTGATTTTAAATCAGCAACAATCAAGTATATTTTATACTATTTTAAAACAGTGTAAACTATCCAGATATATTAAAAAAAAAAATATTTGAATTGCCTTCAAAAAACCATTTAGCCTTTGAATACGACTTGGAAGAGGATCTTTATGGATGGTAAAAAGATTTTCACTTTTTTCTTAAATTAAAAACTTTAGTATAACACAAATAGATAAATTCAACAAAGAATAAATTAGAGCAAAGCTTGAGTCAATATATATTTTTAGATTAACTATCAATGAAGATAAACATTGTCTTACGTATTCAATGGACTAATGAGTATGCTTTTATCAATTCAACTTGAGATTATCAAATGTATTTAGTAAATTACAATTTTACGAACTTTTGCAGTTTTTACAAGTGTGTATTTTTTGCTCTTATTGTAGGTATTATGTAAAAGCTGTGGTAAAAGCTCTATTTCACGGATATTATTTTTATTTGTATTAGTTATTATCAGCACTGCCTTTGAATGGAAATGGATTTTTTTTTAATTTTATGTTTTATTTTGTTGTTATTTTGTTATATATTTATTACAGAAATAGTACACGTTTTATATATTATCTAATATGCGTTATATCGATCTCAAGTTGAGTTGGATAATACAAACACGACTGTTAGTTAATAAATATTTACAAACAACATACTAATTCTTAAAATTGTATTTACAGTATAAATTATCCAATATAATCAGTCTATGTCAACAGCGTGGCTCCTAAACACGTATAAATAAGAAATATTCATTATTAGTTTAAATACGTTTTCATCCTTAAGCTTATATTATGAAACTTCACCATTTCTTATTATTTTATTCTAAAAGAAACTGTCAATATTAATATAAAGTAATTTCCATAGGAGTTTTAATTTAATATAATGACCACTTTTTGACAAGGATTCATTTAACTTGTAATTCAAAATGTAAAGTAATATCATAAATAACAAAACACGTCAATATTATATAAAATACTATTACTTAAACATGCAACCGCCAATGCAGCTTAAGAAAAAAGTAAAGTAAAACAAACCATTTTTATTTTTTAACTTAACTTTTTACAATTTATTGTTATATCTAAGAAACATATCTCTCTCAAACTTTTTATAATACTGGTTGTAATAATATTCGGAATCACTAATGAAAAAATAATGAAATGAAGAAAAAAAAGATCATGTATTTTCAGTACCTACCACAAATAAGTTGTCTGATGTCAAACTTACCAAAAAATGGTGGCGAACTTTTAAAAGGCGTTTAGAACTGTTTCCTCTAATCATACCATTTTCTCATATTCCGTTAACAATAATATATCATTATAACCTTTTTTCGTGATAATATTAGAAATAATATAAAAAATGTATATAACAATTCAGATGAAACGATTCAACATCAAATTACTCGTTACTTCCATAACGTTCTTAACAAACTTTGGGGTTATTCCACAAGGATCCTTATTAGGCCACTAACTTTACTTATTATAGAAATCTCGAAGAAATCGCTTATAACCCTGAGTACGTATATAACTTACTGTGTTACAATAACTACTCACTTCAGTTGAACTATCTTATAGAAGTTTCGGTGTAACTGCCTAACAGGAATTGTAGGAGCACTTGTAATAGAACGACCAGTATCGTCGGTATGCAAGTTTCTGTCGCTGCCCCTGTTAAAAATAAAAAAAGTATTAATGCATATATAATCTGTATATTACAGAAAACTATAGCGTTGTTAGGTATTTCATATTTTCCAGTGAGTATGAAAAGAATTAGGTTAGTTTTATTAATTTATTTATTTACTGTCTCCATAGAAGATTTGATTTACTGAAGTTAATAACTGGTGGAATGGAATATTGATGAACAACGAAAATAAATATAACAGACCGAATTGTCCCTGGTTTGGCCTGTCCTGTTTGTCTGACCTGGATTAAGTAAGCACAGAGAGCATAGGCCACAAACTATTCTACTAACTTATTGAAGTAATTAGGTATATTAAAAATTGATTAATTATAACAAAAATTTAGATGAAATGGTTCAACATCAAATTACTCGTTACTTTCATAACATTGTTATCAAACTTTAGGGATATTCCACAAGGATCATTGTTAGGCCACTAACTATACTAATAATAGAAATCTCAAAGAAAGCAGGTAAAACCAACGGCTTTAAATGTGATGCTAGATTCGACGCTGTCCCATGCTGATATTATTATGTTGATTCTTATTTAACTGACAACAACAATTGGTATAGCATTACCTGTGAAACTTCTGCCTAGAGCTGAAGCTGGACTTGCACTTCTTTCCCTCAATACTATGGTATGGCTTGTTGCTTTCCATACATCAAATATGGAAGCTTCGCACCTAGAAGAATTATTTTTTATGAGCCGATCTTAACAATATGGTAAAAAGGAAACAGAATAAAGAGTGTGAGAAAATTACTGTATCATGATCAAAGTATTGTCAGCTGAACAAAATGTCTATATAGCTGTTAATATGGTCCAGAGGTATCTAAATCTGAATGCTGAATTAATTGGCAGGCTCTTAGAACCAAACCAAATATTCACAGTACCTACCTACTTATCTCTTTTAAAATAAAAATCTACAGAGTAAAAGAAATTGTCTACTTTTCAACTTAAATGCTTAATTGCCATCTCTTATAAACTTTGATTCTAGAATGGGTCATGCTTAATAACAAACTTTTTTATATTGTCGTAGATTTAGAGTACCTATCACAAAGGTACTGTAATTTCCTTGGCTTTAATAATAAATTCCACGGCATTAGCGATTCAACTAGAGGTGAGATCAAGGCAATGTGCATCCTCGCGGTTCAAATCAATGCTTGCTACATCAGTAACACTTGCTTGTATGTGTGTTTGTATGCAATAGCGTAATCATGTGCATGCGTGCGTTTGGGAGTGTGTGACTATGTGTACGTGGGTGTAAATGTTTATGATAAAGGGTGTCTTTGAGACTCAGACCTCGGCTCTAGTTAGCCGTTGTCGTAGGAGGTGAGGTAAGGTACATCTGTACCTGGTATAGCGCGTCATGTGTAGACCGGGTCTTCGCACTCCTTTCTTACGGGTGCGGTGTCTGCCTAATGCTAAGCTAGTGTGCAAGTTTGCTAGCTGTGTAGTGTTGGTATTTTTGGCCTGTGTGGAAACATCACGACGCGTGTCTGCTCACCGTATCATAAGTGTAGGCACTGGCGATAGCACGGCTGCTTCCAGCTCCAAGGTTGCTAGACTGGACGCGTAGCCGTTGCTGAAGTTGGTTACATGGTTAGCAGTGAATCCAGGTACCTGGACACCAAAAGAAACAGTAGTTGAGATAAAATACAAGTCCAAGATTTAAATGTTCAGCTAGACATGACAATGGAATAGGAATAATGACTACTATTTTTTTCTTCGTCAATCAGGTAGATTATCAAAAAGTATTGGACACGTATGTTTTCTTTATTCACATAATCAAAAAAATACAAAGATTTTATCTGTCGCGTTACGTCACGTTTTTACATCGAAGTGACGTTGCGTACGTCACGGTCAGTTCTACTTCCAAACCTTGACAAAAATAAGTACTTATCCATTATTTTCTGATAATCTAACTAATATACTTAATAGAATTTTGCTCATCATCCCTATTAGCACTTCAAACAAGAACAAGTTTCATATTAAACATGCTATTAAGTTGTAATGCTCGGTTAGTTTTGCATTGTAGCTATTATAATTGTCAGACTTTTTATTGTCCACACTTTATGGATTAGGATAACGCTAATAACACTGCGTCACTCGAACACTATACTATATATCATGCAGATGAATGCATTAAAATGAAGACTCGGCAAAATAAAAGTGGAGCTGCACAAAACGGCGATGCAAGACCTCATATCCCGCCACACTTGTTCTTGGAGACGATTGTAGTTGCATTCTTAATATATTTCATCCGACCATTCTCCATCCGACGTATTCCCGTATGACGTCAAAGCGAGCATTTAATATGGCATTGCAAATTGACACTTGTAACATGCAAATTAAGCAATATCTCTCAGAGAGATCATCCGATGTTGACAGAGTATTCTGTTATTAGATTTTCGATGTTAATTAAACATCGAAAATCGCCGCATAAAAAACTGGAAAATTGTCCTTTCAGATGTTTTTATTGTACCTTAAAAAACCCTGAGAGATGATTTACTTAGCATTATTACTTTTAGTACAACTGTCTACATTTAATGTACATATAACTAGGGGGCAAAATCAATTCATTATCTTTACTAATCTAATATATAAAATTCTCGTGTCACGGTGTGCGTAATTGAACTACTCCGAAACGGCTCGACCGATTTTCGTGTATTTTTTTATGCATATTCAGTACGTCGGAGAATCGGACAACATCTATTTTTCACACCCCTTAATTTTTTTGGACAATATTTTTGGTTTTTAGTTTTTTATGATACATCATACAAAAATACATACAACACTAAATTTTCACCCTTCTACCACCAACCCCTATTTTTTTTATGGCGGTACGAAGTTTGCTGGGTCAGCTAGTATTTTATATAAAGAGGAAATATAATAAAACCTGGAACCAATCCCCAAACACGCGGAGCTCTGGAACCCTACACACCAGCAGAAACAAAACACCAGCAAAAGGTAGAGTTATTTTGCTGCGGTCTTCATTAAGGTGGAGGTTGCTTCATCAGACGGGCGCTCCAATTCAAGCGGCATATCCACTATGCCCTGCCTGTCTTAAATCAATCAATCGGGCATTTGCATTATGTGCGTGGAGTCATTTGTTTGACCTTCATATATATATATATATATATATATATATATATATATATATATATATATATATAAAACAGTACTCACCATTTGCTCGTTGACGTACCACGTGATGTTGGCAGCTGGCAGCGAAGGAGGGGAAGAGCAATTCGCCCTTATGTGATCACCGCCAACGTACGTCATACGATCTGACGTCACATTTGGACCCACCAATGGCGGTTCTATAACAAAAAATATTTTTTTCAAATTAAACCTTTGAAACCGTGTAAGTATATTATTTTCATAAAACTTTCGTGAAATAATCAAATATGTAAAAGTATAAAAATTGATTTCGTATCTGTTCAGTAGGAAAATGTTCATTTTACAAATATAAATGAACAATAAATCTACACAAAAAAATATTTGTATATCGAAATAAACAATATTGATTCCCTATTTTTTTAACATTTCACTGAAGGTTTAATATAATAGATTTTATTTTTCTGATTAGACTTGAAACGAAATGAGAGTATGAAAGTGAATTCTTTGTCATATGCAAATGAATAACATAAAAATTAACAGATTTCCTGTCAGGCCGACGATCCCAAATTATTTGTATTTATATTTGCTTTAAAAACACTTTTTGAGAAGTGGAAATCAGAGAAATGGGAAGAAAGAGTCTAAGATAATGCAAAATTGATGGCTCTGTAAATCTATGGCAACATCTTTTATCAAATGTACCAAGGTAATGACGTAGTAGGAGTTTCATAATTTTTAGTATTGTAACTATCAAAATTCCTGAGCTTGTTTTTATAGAAATTATACATTTTCAGCTATATATACATGGCTAGTACAGTCCCTCATACAAAATTTTACCTTTTTTTATAATATAAACAATGAAGATATTTATATGACTGTGATAAATTTGTAATCACTACACTCGATAAATCTACATTCTAAAGATCAATCAAACAAAAACCATATAACGTTCGTCATCAAAATTGTTCCAGATAAAGTGCTCGATTTCATTCCTCAACATGTCAGTTGTTGGAACTGCCAGAACTGGCCACGTTTAAAATGGAGAACATTTTACTTTGAATAATGAATAAAAAAAACACACACACACACACATGCTCAATGTTTACATTCGTGACATATGAGCTCAAAGTTGGGACACGACGAATTTTGGAAAATTGAAAATTAGAACAAAGGGCGACCGCATTGAAAATCGGACGTTTTTTTTATCAAAACGGCGGCGGCTTGTGATGATGCAATATTTCATCCGGTCCTAATAAAAGATTCCCGAAATGGGAATATTGAAAAGGCAGATGGTAAACGGGAGGCCAATATAAGCTTTGTGTAGATGAGCCACCGAAAAGTTTTACTCTTTTTTATTGCTTCCGAACTATGTTTTGGGCAAGGGACTGACGAGCCGTACACCGTGGTTATTTATTTTACAAGCCACTGCCCGCGGCTTGGTCCATCTGATATATTTTTGAGTTGAAATTATGGGAAAACACTTTTCCGGTGATACAACACCTAGATTAAAAATATGAAATACTTCGAATACGTTTATAGGCGTTGAGTTCAGTGGCAAATTATTTCTTTTATTTTCAAACTTAAAAATTATTTAAGTAGGAAAAAAGTAGTTTTGTATTTTAAATCAAATTATTGATTTCAATCGTCAGGAATTATATTCGTGATTTGTTTCCGTGAAATATTTTATTTACCCTAAATTACTGACTACGCTGAAATCATTCCAATCTCCGACAAAAGTTTTAAATTAAATAAAAAAAATACTTTCCCTTCTTTTATGAAAAAGGGTTTAATTTAGACCATTTTAGACAGCCAGACGTCTATTTATCAAACGTTGCCCTTAAAAACTTCTCAGCTAAATCTTACTGCCACCATTTAATAGCGGGAGTAAAATAAATAAAAAAAATCTCATTCCAAACACTGGAAAAATTTTATAAGGTGCGAAGCAAATTAGAAGAAAACAAAAAATCTTAACTCAGGTCATTAAGCCCATATCTCTTCGGTACGAGGGTACACAGTAATTATTTATTTAGATGGCTTAGGTTGGACCATAGTAGATATAGCGTAATAGTAGAACAACTTTTACTCCAAGTACTTTATTGATGAAGTAAAGGTTTTATGTAACAGTGGTCGTTTAAGCTTTATTTGGCCTAGGATGTGACAATAACTTGATTTAATTAAGTTCCTCCAAGGTACAGATGCAATAAGCATTGAAAAAATTTTTTTCGAAAATTTTTATGCTACATTAATTGCAATTTCGTAGAAATATTTTCTTTTATACAATAATATTTTCAATTGTAGGTTTTAGGAATGTAACCCATCAAGGGAAGTAACCTACACAATTTTTACTTATGTATTCTTGAAGTAAATTAATGTTTCCATGGGGCAAGAAAATGGGTCGGTGTAGGCAATGCGCGGGTTACTTTATTTTTACAAGGAGCTTTAAGCTATTTTGGTTACTTCATTAGGCACATCATTTACTCATTTTTCACCCTTTTAAAAATCTACAGAACCGGGCCAATGTATTTTTCTTTAAAGAAAAATGAAGTACGAAGTACTCACTTATACTACTGTTGTAACCAATACACTGTGGTTGAAGCTCATCCTTGTATTTATAAAAGTGCACAGATTAAAAATGTACTTTATTGTTCATGCAAGAAAAAAGGTTGGATACGACTTAAAGTAATAACTCTTGTGTGACGGTAATTGAGCGCCTGTAGTATTTTAAACTTCTCATGCTAAGAGGAAAGGAGATGGGGGGATGACGGGAGCTTTAAACAGTTCGAGAATATTAAATTACTGCTCCTGAGTTTATACCACTACTTTGTATGTATAATTAAAACGAACTAAGAAACAAAAGTTTCGTTATTGAAGTTCCCGAACAGAGCAAGTGGTATTTTGAAAAAAAAATGTTAATAGAGTGCTATAGTGCCAAGGTGATATGTGTTTAAATCATGTGTTACACTATAATTTTTAGTACTGCTTCAAGCGTAAAAGATCTGATTGGCATGCATGCAGTGATTGCTAAATGTTTTGGAGACAAAAGGGTTTTTGTTAGGGTGTAAGGATCACTTTGCCGAACCTACTCTTTTATAAAACTATGCATTACAATCTATGATGGTAAACGTTATGTTATCATACAACTTAAAGCATATTTTTTGAGGTTCTATATTTAATTGAAGAAAGCTAAAGGAATGAGATTCTTTCAGCAATTTTACGTGACCCCAAAAATAGCCCTATTTTTAACTTTTCGTATTTAGCCGATTTTTGTGTTAGATTTTCTCTCAGTAGATACGTATACTGTTAATTTTTATTATGTCACAGTAATGCATCATACGTTTTTGATTTGGGTCGCATTACTCGTGTTTATCATAAACATCTGCCTTTTGTGGATTTCAGGCACTGGCGAGGTGACCCTTGCATTCGTATTCAATGCCAGAAGCCACAAAACCGAGACGTCTGACGTCTGACTAATGAATGGTTGTGACCGACTGGTCTGCACCCCTCACCCTAATGTCACACCAACCTGACTTAATTTCGGTCCGGTTTATAAAATCCTATTTCATTCTAGTGACCCCCCATCGCTTCGCTTCTTTTTAATATAGTCTTTAAGCTCTATGTTGGCTAAAAGAAGTTTTTAATTTCTTCCCTTGAAGAATTAGCTAAGGTACTTGTCCCATCGCCAACGATGAGCGAGAATTGAGTAAAGCTAGAGGCTAGAAACGAGTTGGCGAGCAGCGAGAAGCGATTGTGTAATTCCGTTTTATCGCTAGGTTATTGGCACTCGCCTACGGAGACAATTCTGAGTAAAAACGCACGCTCGCGCGCTAGAGACAAGCGAGCATCGCTGAGCGACTATTAGCTCTCATAACTTTTGTCACTCAGCGACTTACTAGTGGAACGATTGACTTCTGTTGTATGACTTTCTTGTTTACACGGAATATACATATATCTCTTGTACGTTTCTTGAATGACAAAATAGCCGATAGTAAGACACTTCTTCGCCGGCGGTGGAACAACTGCCTAACTCCGTTCAATAGTGTTTGATACAGACGCAGCAACGGACTTTGTTTCATAAATGTTGTGGTAACTCTTTCCTATCAGTTAATTACATTTTCATTACGTGTACGTACTGAATTACATGTACACAATAAGTGCACCGAATGCAGCTTTGCAAGAATGCAGATTTATATACGGCATAACAAACCTGAAAAGCAGTACACGATTGTAAAAAAGGTAGGTAAGCAAAGAATATGACTGCACGTGTGAGTTCATTTGGAATTCCCTCTGGTTGAAAGTATTAACATATTTACTGGAAAATAAATAACCAAGAAAAACCAGGCGCAACCGAGTTATGCAGCTGTGCGCTTCAAATTTTTAAAGACAACTGAGAAGAGCGTGTTTGTACTGCGACAGTTGTGAAAATGCTTTATTTATGGGTTCTTTTAAATGTATTTCTTGGGAAACCTTTTTTAAACCCATCGAGCAACACCCGTGTTGCTGCTCTAAGTTAAAATATTTTATACTAATATGAATAAAAATTAATGTACGTAAATGTATGTCGGAGATTAAGACCTACGCGCATAAATTTCGAATGACTGCACCAAATTGGATATTTCTTATTTTTTGTATTCGCTATTGTGAGGACAAAGTGTGCATTACCTACGTGTCTTTACTCGTGTAGTTTGTATAAAAAATGAGCAGAATAAAAATAAAATTATAAAGTTCGCCGGGTCAGCTAGCAAAACTAAAAAATATGAGAATCAGATCTCCACAAAATGTTATCGACAAATCTTTTGTAAGCATCAGAGCTCTCAGCCTCAAACGGACATAACCGTGTGAATGTATGTATGTGAGAAGTTCAATCAAAATATAACCCGCTTACTATTTGGATCGTAAGATCTCATAAAGAGAAATTATCAGAGCCATGAAAGGTATACATCATTAAATTTGAGTTACCTGGTTACAGTTACAAATTCAGACAACGCTTTCGGCTATATTTAGGCAAAAAAAAAAGTTTTATCTTTAAATAATTTGTTTGGAAGAAATTACTCAATAATAAATTTAAATTGTCGTAATATATTTGATTAATTAAAATTACTTTTGGATATACGTACTTGAACGGATTATAATCCCTAAATAAGTAAGTATGTTACAAATTTGCAACGTTTTAGGATATTTTGTAAACGATTCAAATCATTAATTTTGTATGGAGGTGTAGTACGCCTATTTGATCGATATTTATAACTGTTCGCACTTTTCTTATTAACACGATTTTTAAGTTACTCAGGTAACTTAAAATTTATAGTGTATACAATTTTTCCATTCCTTGACGACTTCCGTGGCCGAGTGGTTTATACGCCGGGTTTCACGGTGTCGCCGACTCGAGAGGTCCCGGGTTCGAATCCCGGTGGGGGCAGATATTTGTGTGATCAATACGAGCATTTGTACTCAAGTCATGGATGTTTAATATGTATATCTATATAAATATACTTATATAAATGTATTCTATCCGTTACCCTGGTAACCCATAACACAAGCCTTACAGTGCTTACTTTGGGGCTAATTGGTGTGAATGTTGGAAATATTTCATCATCATCATCATCATCAGCCTATTAACGTCCCCACTGCTGGGGCACAGGCCTTCCATATGGACGGAATAGGGAGTTTGGGCCATGACCCACCACGCGGGCCCAGTGCGGATTGGCGGATGCTAACGACTGCAGATGCAGCCGGGACCAACGGCTTAACGTGCATTCCGAATTTTCGGTCACCCATCCAATGACCGACCACTGCGAAAGTTGCTTAACTTCAGCGATCGCAGCCGAACTCGCTAAACACTTGCGCCATCGAGCTCCTCGAAATAGAAATATTTATTTATTATTATTTATTCCATTTCTTCTTAACAGCAGTCCTCATAGTAAAACTAGGTAGCATAATATACTCGTTCACTCACCAACGACCACCATCTCCGCTGACTTAATGTCTGTATGGAACAGTGGCGCGTCAGCGGATACTTCACACTGGTACTCCCCCGTCAAGGTCCTATCTACCTCTGTGAGTATCACCCTGTTCTGGTCTGATCCCGCCACCTGCAAAAGGACAAATAATGTTAATAAAAAACAAATATTCGTGTAAAATTAAATTATGACTGGCGGCCGCCCGCGACTTCGAACGCGTGGAGTTAGTTAGAAATAAAGGTTCACTGCTCGTTCCCCGTAGGCGATAGCGTGATAATATGTAGCCTATATGCTGACCCGACTTCTTAATAATATTCGTGCATACTTTAAACGAAATCCAAGCAGTACTTTTTGAGTTTATCCCGGACATACATACAGACAAACAGACAAAATTTCTAAAAACTATATTTTTGGCTTCGGTATCAATTGGAGATCACACTCCAAGTATTATTTTAAAAAAAAATCAACGTACAGTTTTGACTTTCCTACCATTTTATTATATGCATAGATAAAGCGCTTATTCCACCTGACTAAATTCAGACGTTTTAAATCATTCAGTAACTAATTCAGTCGAGTGAAATAGCATTTAGGTAGTTAGGATCCTAATTAGCATCCTAAATAGGAAGAAGTGTGGCTTCTGACTGACTAAATCATTTAGTATCCTCCATATCGTTTAGATGCTTCACTCGCACCGCAGGTGTAACTGCGTGAGGACGTGTTGTGTCTACGATTACGAATTACGCGAGTTTGCGATAAAAGAAAAAGAAGTTTTGAGTAACATAATCGAATTGTATAATCATATGCCGTATCTTTGGAACAAAAATAATATTAATATTTACTCTTTTTAATAATACACACATCAAAAGTGTCTAGGGATCAACATATATTTTTGCAATAACTTTTCTCCTGATTGATATGAATTAAAATTTTCTTTAAGGATTCATCAAATAAAGTGTTTTCGTTTGTCACAGTAACGATAAACCAAGTCACCTTTGCATTAATAAAGAAATTTGCCATTTTCCTAATAAAGGGATTTTTGACATTTGAACCACTAACACAAAAGTTCGAAAAAAAGACTGAAATAACAGTTTTCTCTAAAATTTTATTGGGTAACTTAAACAATTAATAATCCGTATTTCTACCGCGAACACTAACAACACAAGAACATCGGTTTGGCATACTCAAAATGAGTTCATCCAAATCACGCTGTGGAATGGCCGCCCATGTTCGTTGCAACAACAAAAAAAGGTCTTCTTGCGACTGGATACCCTCCATATTCGGCAGAGCTCTTCTCTGTAGCATATCCCATGCATGCTCAATCGGGTTCAAGTCTGGCGACTGAGCAGGCCAGGGCAGGACATTGATGTTAGCTGCGGCGAGAGTCTGTCTTACAACTCTTGCGGTGTGCGGTCGTGCATTATCATGCATTAACTGAAATAAGGGACCGATTTGCACTTGTAGAGGAACGATGACGTCTGATACAATCGTCTCAGCATAAATTTGAGCGTTGAGGTTGCCTCTGATCCAAATCAACTCAGTTCTTCCGCCGATCCAAATACCCGCCCATACCATGATGGTTCCACCACTATAAGGATGAACTTCCTGGCAGGATTTTAATCGCTGTTGGCGTCCAGGGGTTCTCCAGTGTCGTATACGTCTTGTATCCGGTCTCATACCAAAACGAGACTCATCAGAAAAGCACACGAAACGCCATTGTTCTTCTGCCCAATTTCTGTGTTCAAGAGCCCATTGATATCGAATCCTACGATTGTGCATTGCTATAGGTGGTACCCGTAGCGGTCTTCGGGAATGAAGGTTCACTTCATGCAAGCGGTTTCTGACTGTTTGGTCGCTAATTAAGTTCCCTGAAGAGTGATGAAGCCTCACGGCTAACATCATGGCGGTTATTGTTGGAGCTCTTCGAGTTAAGATTTGAATGTATCGGTCTTGTCTCCGTGTGGTGCAGCGATACCGTCCTCCATGGCGCTCAGCCACGGTACCAGTGCTTCGGTATCGTGTCCAAAGTCGACTGATAACACTCTGACTTGTATTCAGAGCTAAAGCCACAGTACGTTGCCGGGAACCAGCTTCTATCATTCCCACGGCTCTGAGCATTTCTTCCCTGCTTAAATGACGTCGCCGCTCCATAATAACGTTGGTTTTAATCAGTAGTAGGGAAACAGTAGCACTAATAATGTCTTCAATGCGTTGTATGTTTTTATAGGGAAAATATTGACAGCTGATTTTCATCTTTTACTCGAATTTGATTCACAGTTCCTGATTCAAATTATGAAATGCACCAAAAAGGATCCATATAAATTTATAAAATCATAAATTTATTACAAAGCCACATCTCAATCTCAAGAAATCCGCATAAAAATGCTTGATCCCTAGACACTTTTGATGTGTGTATATTTTAGTTATTAATTTTATTTTTAAGGTTTTTAGTTTTAGTTTTATTGTTCTAGTATTTATATATATAGTAATTATATTAATATTCTTTCACCAACGTTTTTCGTTTTTCACTTTATTTTATTTTTATTGAGCCAACGGCCAGGCCTACGAGAAGACTGTTTTTTTTTTGCTTTGACAGGACTGGAGCTATTACGAAAAAGTCCGACTAAATTCGCTACGCGCTTGTAACTGACTTAATCAGTAACTAAATTAGTCAAGTGTAATCAGAAGCTTCTAATTTAGGATCCTATCTATGGCGTCTGGATTTAATCAGGTGGAATAAGCGCTTTAAGAGTGAGTAAGAGCTTTGCATAACGCAACACAAATTATGATCCTGAAGACTAATTCATTATACTGACAGTAACACAACATCTTTAAAAGGAGAGTAAGAGAGTTAGGCCATAGCGGATTTTCCGCTCGAATTGCATCGTCCGTTTTGGGGAAGTAATCTCCACCTTACAGAAGATCACAGTAAAATAACACCTTTTGGTGGTGTTGCGTTTTTGTCGGTGGGTAAGATTCCAAGACTCCACGTAGTAGGGGGTTGTGTTAGGGTAGGCAACGGTGCGAGTAAATTTTTTTTTATATCGTCTATAGGCAATATGTAGACGCTGGCAATACCAAAAATAGGCGCTAGATGGAAACACTGTTACAAAGACGAGTACTTCATTAAGAAAAATCCTATTAACAGGTGTTTTTGGGTGTGTCTTCTTTGGTGGCATACAGTGTTGTTCGGCTGAAATAAAATGGCTTTTTAGTGTTCCGATATTGCTACCAGTGCCGAGTTATTCTCTCTTATTCCACCTTCCCCTTTCCTTTAGAGAATCACGCGCGCTGGCCTACGTTGTCACCGTCTAACAGTGGCCACAATTCCAACGCGTACAAAGAAATTTTGTGACTCATTCCTTTGTCGCACTATCCGTAAATGGAATCCTCTGCCCGCTCACGTGTTCCCTCCCTCTTACAACCTGGGATCCTTTAAAAGAGGCGTGAAGAAGCAACACGCAGGCCGGCAGGGTGAGGATGGCTGGTGTGGCAGATAGAACCGCTGTATCAGCTATCTTCGCGTCTGGACTTCACCTTCACTTAACATCAGGTGGGGTGGAGTCATTTGTCGGACCTATGTATAAAAAAAAACGAATGATGACAAACTTTTTTTCTTCATCTATCCAGTAGATTATAAAAGGCATTGGACAGTTTTTTTTATTCGTAATAAATATTCGAAAGATGTATTGATCTGACACATGACGACGGCAGGTCTTGGCACAACTTTTTTTAGTGACATCAGGAGCCCGCACTCCTAAACTTTGACGCCCCTTACCTTTGCAATTTTTGGTTGATTGTCAAAAAAAATGACCATTATCATAATTTTATTTTTTTAAGCATGTTACTGCTTGATGTTTAAATCTAAAGAAAATATAACTAGAATAAATTCCATGGCCGTGTCGAAATTCTTCTAGCCATTCTTAAGCTGCAAGGCAGCGCCATCTCTTCGCATTATAGGTAACCCACCATAGATATCAGAAACAAAATCTCTGTGTAACCCACAATTGCAAATGAATACTTTTACAAGTATTATTGTTTGATGATCTAACTAACACCATGTCGTCTATCTATCAATCATAAAATGAGTCACATGCTTTTATAAGAACCAAAAATACAATGATATAGAGTAATTTAAGTTGTACAATAATAGGGACAGACTTTGAGAGGTCACGTATAACTTTGGGAATATTGGCAATAATGCTATATAATAAATCAAATAAGTAATGGGCAGCCTTAACCCATTACAATGTATTGTAAGGGGACACGCGTAGCCTTGCCAAACTACATTGGATATCCTAACTAATTTAAAAAAATCGGGAGGCGTTATAGATATATGCAGCAGATGTATAGAAAGAGCTATAAGAAAAAAACGGTAGATACGTAGAGCCGTCTTTTTCCGGTTTGCACCCGCCTAGAATTGGTAAATAAAATCAAGATATAGGCAAGTTACGAATGTATTTCTGTGGCTTCTGCCGCCCCTCAAAGCTCGTTTTTTTTAGACTAAATCATATTTATTTAATTATAATTCAGGTTACCTACAGGGTAACCTCAGGGTATCTTAATGACGGAAAACGTATTCTAAGAAAAGCAGTAGATTCATGTACAAAAACAGAAGAATATGAGAAATTTCAGTAAAAAAGGAGATCTCCTTTATAATCGGAAGACCTTGCAACAGTGTCCCAACTATACAGGGGTACAAAATAAAATAAAAAGATAGTTTTTGCCCTTTACCGCGATGCATTAATAAATACTCGTATAAGGACTGCTGAAAATTCCGGCAAATAGAAAGAGTTCTATGAGCGGGGTGACATACGAGCAATAATTTTCTACGCTTAGACGTGGAAAAACTTGGTTGAGGTAAAATATATACGAGTGCAAATCATAAGTTTGGTGCCCCTGTTCAAAAATTTCAAGTTACAACTGCGCCTGGTTTGTTGGCCACTAGGCAATTTAATAAAAAAAAACACACTTCTCATGAAGAAATTTTAAAGCTGTTCTTTTTTATAGTGAGGTATGCAAATGACTCTACCCCACCTGATGTTAAGTGGTGATAAAGTCCAAACGCGAAGATAGCTGCTACAGCAGTTGTAAACTGCTAGACTATTTCTCTTATCACAAATTGTTCAGATTAA